GGCACTTTGGAAGCTCGTGATGGTACTGTTCACACGCTGTACTCGCTCACTACGCTGTGTGTGTGTGTTTCCAGATGCCTCCTTTCACCTTGAAGCTGGATTTCGATCAGGCTATCCCCACCAACAGCGTTTGGGTGTGTACAGCCTGTGTCAGAATCTGCAAAGCGCTGACACCGGCGGCCTTAGTGGGGGGGTGTAGGGGTTGCAGGGTGGGCCACTTCATGGTGGCAGTTCGTGATGGAAGGGGTGGTGTCGTGTTGCACTCAGGCACACCAACACTCTCCTGGCCCGCCCTGGAGGGCCCCCCCCCCTCCGGCCCCTCCGGCCCCTCCGGCCCCTCCGGCCCCTCCGGCCCCTCCGGCCCCTCCGGCCCCTCCGGCCCCTCCGGCCCCTCCGGCCCCTCCGGCCCCTCCGGCCCTTCCGGCCCCTCCGGCCCATATGGTTCTTCTGCACCCTCCGCCCCTGCTGCCCACTCCGCCCCCCACCACTCTTTTGCCCCATCTGCCCCCCACCACTCTTTCGACCCTTCCGCCCCCCACCATTCTTTGGACCCCTCCACCCCTTCCCACTCTATTTCCTCCCCCGGCCCCGGGCAGTGGGGGCCTTGGGCGGATTTACGGGCCGCTTCTGCCCCACTCTCGCACAGCAGGCAGCCCGACCCTGTGCCATCTGCCGGGCCCCATCCCCATTATGACGACCCCGCCCTCGATTTGTCGTGGGGCCTCGAAGGGGTCTCTGTGTCCCCCGGGGACCACCCCCAGCGGCCCGAGACGGTCGTTAGGCGGGTTCAAACTGTGACGGATGAGGTCACCTTCTGTTGGGCTTAGTTGCCAAGGGGTTGTGGGGTAGTGGGGTAGTGGACAGGGACAATAGGACGTCGGCGGGCATACGGGTCCTTGGGATGTTTTTTGTTTGAACGTTTTTGTAACTTTTTGTTGTTTGAACATTTTTGTAACTTTTTGTTACTTCTGGCCTTGTGTGCGGTGGTTTCTGAACTTGCATTGTACCTTCATAATGTCCTTGAGCACTGTAAGGAAAAAAGGGAGTCCTGGCCCTGCGGCAGGTCGGAACGGCAGTCATTTAGAAGATGGGTGCAGTGGGAAGGTAGTCAAGGTAGTAGTGAGGGCTTTGGGACAGGAATTAGGACGGGCTTGGGGTGACTTCGCGCTAGTATAGCTTTGCGGACAGGAATAGGGAGGGCTAAGGGAGACTACGGGGTAGAGCATGCGGGTGGAAGTGGGACAGGCTGGCAAGGGGTAGTAGGGATGCTGGGTTTCAATGGGAAGTGCAAGGGAAAGCAGTACGGACAGAAAAGGAGCCAGCAAGGGTGCAAGTAAAAACGAACGAGGAACTTGTACTATAAATGGATGCTCTTATGTGTCAGAATGCCCCTCTGTGCCCGACGCCCTGCGGCGGACGGCATTGGCTCAAAGTGTTCTGAGTGTGCGTGAGCTCTGCAACGAACGAGCAAAGCGTTGGTCCATCGCGCGTGATCCCCGCTACCTTGCATAAACAATGACTTACAGCATGAACAAAATGGTGGCCATCTCCCACGTGCAGGCCGTCCAATTGCGTATGCTATCTCCATATTGCGGTTCCTCCATCGCGGAACCGCACTGTCCCCAAAATGCCTCCAAACCTCTTATATGTCCCTTGTATCCCAAGCCAACCTAATATGTACTATATTGCAGAATTGTCAAAGCACAACTCATACGATATTGGTAGGATGTCAAAGTCAGCAAATACACGTTTGAACCCCATTTTTCACCACATGTTATGGGACATTTTGAACGGAAGGGAGTTTTGAGAGAAACCCTGGCAAGTCCAGCAACGGTCCCTATATACTAACGCCAACTTCTAAAACTAGCACCTTGGAGTGTCCTCCTGCCCCTGTGAAAAAGGAAAGGCAAGGAGACACACAGGGATTTCAGAAGCGTTCGATAACTAAGAATCAAGGCAAACAATTGCGTAAGAGTTGGGCAAAGCTCTCTACACAAATTGATGACAGTTGAACGGTGCTAATGTGCACAAGGTCAGCGCCACTATGGATATCAAATAGTACCTTGATGATATTCTAATCACCGGGCATGATACGACAAACCCTGAACCGAACGAAACACACTGGACTAGTGTGCTTGGGACTTCAAAACAACTTGAGCAACTGTGGCAGACATTTGGTTTGGCATTTCTAGCCATAATCTACATTAACATAGTTGTTTACCATTCCTTTTTGACGAGAAAACTTGCGAGATTGATCTGGGGAATATATGTCTGGGCACGTGATATTGTACGCGCGTTCATGCGAGGGGAATCTTTGCAGTTGGCAGGATTGGCCCGGGAGCTGGTGCGTATTAAGGGCCAATTAAATTTTCTGTGGAATTCTGAGCGCGTAAGACGCTGCCAGAACAGGCAGGAAAGGGACGCATCACCCGTCACGTCGCAACTTGTGACGGGTATGATTGCTGGTCCAGTCACCAGCCCAGTCCACTTTTAGCTGGCCTGTGCATTTGCAGCTGGAGTAGTAATAGGTTGTTGTGTGTCCTTAAGATCCCTTTGTTTGGGGATCAGGGTTGGGCATATTGTCTAGAGTGTATACACGTGGCCATGACTCATAAGCCGTAACAGGCAGTCACACGTAATGGCCATTCAACACAGCCCAATTACGACACCCCATAAGAATCCTCCATAATGCCCAACCCACAACTTATCAACTATTACACAGTTTCATGCAACGGGTTTCCGAATCCACTCCAAGAGTGACCATCGGACAACATATTACTCCCTGCGTTTTTTCCACCACATCGCTCCTTCTTTGCTGACAAACCTTGCCAACGGGGCCTTGTTGGCTTTGGCGAACGCTGGCCAGTGGGTCATTGGTTTAGGGTGTCCGAAAAAAGAAGGGATCTTCACGGACAAAACAAAGCTATTAATGGGGTGCCCGAAGTCTGTCAACCACTACGTGGCGTCCAGGCAACAGGCTTCCAATCGACTCCCGGAGTGACTGTCGCATCCCCACGTCAGCGCATCCAGTCGCCACGTCTCCCCCCCCCCTCCTCCCTTTATAAACCGCCCTTCGACGCGTGGTGCCCATATCGGCGTCCCGTCCAGTCACCTCGCCCGCACCGCTTCGCCAAGGCCCCTTGCCCAAGCCCTCCCCGCCCTTCCCCGCTCCCCTTCGGTCCCCTCCCCGTCCTGAGGTCGCCCAACATGGGGGGCCCGCACCCCCATGCTCCTTGCTCCCGCATCTCGATGCGCCCCATCCGAATCGGACCGGCGGCATGCTCTCTAGCCCATGGCCCGGCACCCCGCCGCGTCACCCGGCCTAAGCTTCGAGGCCCGCGCCCAGCGGATCGAATCCCGCCGGCCAAAAGATGGACCGAGGATTTGATCGCCCGGGCGGGATCCGATCGGATCGTGTCCGTGGGGGCGGCGAGCGACGCGGCTGCCGGGCCGTCGCCTGGTGGCCAGGGCGTGATCGACCGGGCACGGAGCTTCTTCAACGTCTTCTCGGACCCTTCGTGCAACCGGCGGCTGTTCGCGCTGGCCTTCGGGCAGATGCTGTGCTCTGCGGCCACGCTGATCCACGACACCTACCTGCCGGTGTACATGCAGGACGTTCTGGGTCTCAGCAACACCAAGGTGGGTTGAGGGCCGGCACGCCTGAGCGCCCGCTTCTGTGGCGACATGCGCGCCTTCCGGCGTGCAGGGGGTTAGCATTTGTCACAAAGAGAGAAAGAAACAAGCCATGCATTGGGCACCCCTTTCTAAGCAAGTGTTTGCCAGACGCTCTGCCGTGCTGTGGAAAGATGATATGGAGTTTCCAATGCGAAATGATGAGCGCACAACGAAAGAAGCGTGCAGAAGGGGGTGTGGGGGGAAGTGGATAGGTCCGCCGATTCGGAGTCATGTCCATCGCCCTGCGCCGGCGCGCAATGCCCTAGGGAGGTGGCGGAAGCCGGATGCGGGGGATCGGCGGATCGGGGAGGTGCCGGATCTTGGGTCGTGTCCGCGCGGGAAGCGGGGGGTGGGCTGATATCGCGCGCACGGGGTTGGTGCGCGCCGCTGAGACGCTGCTTCGCTGTCCGGTTCGGGTCTTTTCTGCAGCCTCCAATGCGCGTGCGGGAGCTGTTGCCATGGAGCGCTTGCTTGCCGCCAAGGGTGCTGCCTTGATCTGGATCAAAGGGCAGCGGCTACCCAGTCTAGGACTGGGGTTTTGTCCATAACAGCCGTGCCCGCATCCACCCACACTGCTCAGACAGAAAGCCTTCGGCTAATAGCGCTGCTTCAAGAGCTGATGCTCCTTCAGGCTTCGCTCGGTGCTGGGCAGTCCACAGCGGCGCCGGCGCTGACCTCCTCTGGGCGTGGTGGCCTGCTCGCAGATTGGCGCCGTGCAAGGCATCGCCCAGTTCCTCGCGCAGCTGGCGAAGGGCGTCAGCGGCATCGTGGGCGACATCCTCGGGTCGCAGGTCAGGATGGTGGTCTTCGGCACGTTCCTCACCCTCCTCTGCAAGCCCATGTTCGCGCTGTCCTACCCGGTGATGAAGATCTACGGCTCCATGGTGGCGCTATACTGGATCGTCATTGGCAAGCTGTGCGATCGGCTGAGCAAGGGCATCAGGGAGGCACCTACAAAGGCGGTGATGAACGAGCTCGCGGCAGAGTCGGGGGACAGCCCCGACCCGGCGTATGGTGCGCACACTGGGCTGGCAACCGCCTGGCTGGGGTTTATCTGCTCTGTTGTTTTGTGGGGAGGGGGCGGGGTCATGGGGGATGGCCTTTCGGGTTCAATCTGCCAGGATGTCGACGAAATTTGCTGACTCCAGCATTGCCAAGGTTTTCGTTGTGGCTGGTGCCTGTCGCAAGGTTTCAGAAGAGACATGGTGCCGCTGTTTCGCCTGTTGAAGGGTAACCTGTATCAAACCAATAGTACGCCCTTCAATGGGGGCCATGGCATGATTCTGTTTCCTTTGTTGGCGATTTTGGCTATTGAATTAGCCATTCAATTTTACAAAATAACTGCCAAACATCTTGTGCTGCTTGTCTACCATTTGAAGGCATGGTGTGCTGAAGCTGGGTATATGGCAATTGTCTAGTGCACAGCATCTGCACTTGGGTCCTGGTGCATGCCAATAGAAGAAGAACAGCTGCATTTTAGGTGATGAGATATGGGGTTTCAACATATCTCCACCTGTCACAAAGCATCATTAAAATGCAATGCCGCATTGCCATGCGGTACATAGATCGGATGTGGAGGCAATGTGCCCTTTTTGCTTATGGTCAGGAACTAGATTTGCAGAACGTTACTATATATAACTGCAAGGGGATTGAAAGTCACCCTTAGTAATCCAGGAGGACATGCACCAAGCTGTGCATCAGTACAGCAATGAACAATTACGAATGCAGTGAACACGTCCAAGCTCTGGAAATTGGAGCTAAGACTTTTCGGTTTTCGTTGAATTATCACAGACATTGTTCAGAAATAATCTATCTTTGTCTTGCTTTCAGTACAAATTTATCTGTGAACCTTTCTTAATTGACTTTCTTAGTGGACACAACCGAATCTTGGCAAGACAGCACCTGGAGCCAGGTTGTCCTGAGCTCTGTTTCATTTTGGCCTCTCCCTTGTGTTCAGATGGACTAACAAACTCACAGCTATTAGCTACCTTTCCTGGGATGCCACAAAGAAAGTATTTGGGCTCTGAGAAGGGGTGGGGAAAGCTGAATGTTATCACCATCATCTGCAGTAGTCTATTGTGTGCATTGCTTGTCCTGCACTTGCTTCGAGTGTGTTCAGACTCTGGCTTATGCCCAAATGGGTCCATTAGAATTCAAGCTGCGGAAGAAGCAGGTGCTCCAATGCTTTGTGGGAAAGGTTTGGCTTTGAGGGATGCGGCCTTCCTTCTGTACCCCTTTGCATTGGACAGAACTGTACGTGTTGTGCAAATGGTCTCTGGTACAGGGCCTGTACCAATGGTTCTGAGAGGTACCAGACCTCTCCTATGCGAACCCGTACCAGACATGGCATCCAATGAAACTAACTCCCAGCGCACACTCCAGTTTTTGATGCTCTCATTCTTCAGGATGTGCATTGCTCCCGCCCTTAACTCTCATCGACTTCCCTTTTTAAAGACAAAGGCAAGAAAAATTCAGTTGCGTCAGAAGCTGCACATGTTGGCAGGAGTCAATGCAGCCTATCTTGACTGACTCATCTGCTATTTCTTCCCCCCCAGGAATGAGGCAGTCACTGGCAACTGGAGGGGCGCTTATTGGCTCCAGTGCAGCTGCAGCCATATTTGCAGCGACAGGCCAGAGCTACATTCTTACTTTTGTGGCAGCGGCCGTACCTGCATTTTTTGCCCTTTGTTGGCTAACAGTGGTGGGTGGCTGTGTGGGCCAGTGTGCGCTATTTCTGTGTTGCCATGCCATGCATGCCTGTGTTTACCTTAGCCTTCTTGCAGCTATTGGGCAGATACTAGGCATTGTGGATGCCAACAAAGCAGACAGTGCTGACACCAAGAACATGATTGCATGTCATGAGTGCATTGTTTGTTGTTGCATGACAGCCATTAGCAATTTTGCATTAAATACAGTTGTCCAACGGTTGCATATGCATTGTATTAGGCAATCTTGAGGCAATTCCAGCACTACGATTGTGTGTGAGATGTTCTCATCCAAGGCTTTTGGCTACCATTCTGTGCACTGCATCTCAACTTGCACAAATAGATTTTGATTGATTCTTTGCTAGTATCAGTTGCTTATCTTGGCATCTGTTCTGCAGAGCTTTAAGGACGATTTGTCTTCCAAGAAGCGTGTAGCAACCCAAGACAAAGGTGATTATTGAACAACAATGTTCACAAGCCATTATCGGTTTGCTGATCTCTATCCTCACCCCCAGTGCATGGCAGGCGTGCACAACTATGTGCACGGACATCCGCCATATCACCCAAATGATGTCGATTGTTGTCATTGAATTCTGGATGCTTCCATACCCAATGGATGTGTTGTGCTTCGTAAAGAACAGCAGCGGTTTTGCATTGCTGGTCTTATGAGGCCCAGCATGTGGTGTTGAAACCGTGTGTGCCTCCAATGGAACTGTTCCTCATGAAGGTTGGTCATTTCCCTTTGTGCTGCACTTTCTGCGATCGTTCAAATCGAGTCTTGTGGGAACCAACCAGCTAACTTGATGTGCCAACAGGACTTCCATGCATGTGCTGCAGGTCAGGCAGAAGACTCTACCGAATCTTCGACCAGCCTTTTGTTCAAGGCAAAGGCATTGCTGGGCAGTTTCAAGCCAGTCTACTGGCAGGCGCTGGCTGTGGTAGTCATCCTGTACTTTGCGCGATTTGACGCGTCGTTCTTGATGCTGAGGGCAAAGCAGGTGAGAGGAGTGTGCCACTTTGTTGTGTGTTGATGGTACACTATGATTGGGCTGTTTTGGCATCCATTGTGAGACCTTTACGGTCTGCTAGAATTGTGGTGCTGCCTGACGATCTAAGCTCAGTAGATGTATGTTACATGGCCACTTTGTCATGCTTGCACTTTTGGGGATGTGCTCAGTTACCTATTCTAATGCAGGTGTTGACGCTGCCCTCCTCGACCTTGAAAGACTCATGAACGAACATGCACCTGAACTCATGAACGAACATGCACCTGAACTCCGTGCTGTTGAATATATTTTAGATCGGCTCCTTGTTTGTAAGCTCAAATGAGTGCAGCAATTCAGACAAGCATGCCTTGTCTTTTGTATCTCTTGCGAAGAAGATTACCAAGATAGAAACCACAAAGCAGCAGGGGACTCTTTCCAGCCTTGTTCCCCAGTTGCAGAGTATTGTAGATTTCTTCAAGTGCTGCAGAAACAATTTGGAGCCATCAGCAATGTAAACGCATCAAGAGAGTGAAAACTACCTGTCCGGTTTTGCTGAAATCTTTGGTGGCAACATGACTGTCATTGTTCTAGAAGCGCCCCACCTTTGTGCAGGCACAGCCCTGCAACACTGACTACTCGTGTGATCGAAACTGGCCTCTGATGTGGTGTATATCAGCTCTACGGAACCACTGAGGGGTTGCAGCTGCCACATCGCAGTACCGATGGACTATGCTGCTTCTGTGCGCAGGTGATGCCAAAGACAGAAATCGCATCGATACTGGCTCTGAACATGGCAGTTCAGGCCTTCATGACTGCACCATTGGCCAAGCTTGCAGGGCAGAGTGTGTCCAGCAGGAACACTATGCTGACCCTTGGTTTCTTGGCGATGATTGCTGCGGATGCTGCGTTTGGACTGCCGTTTTTCGGTCACAGATGGGGTAAGGCAATAATTGGCTGCATGTGCTCCCTAGCCTCATGATCTGCTGCTTCCTTTTGTCATCGTTGAAAAGTGATACACCAGCACCTGGTTGCGACAGTGACGAAATGCGATATGTGCATCACCAATTTGCTTTCATAACTTACACATGAAGCCGAGCTTGGAAGAGTCCAGTATTAAGCCCATACTGAACTAGTGCCAACTTGTTCATGTGTTGGGAACCGATCGCACCAAATGTTCGAACATCTTTGGCGCTGTGTCGTTGAAGCCAGTTGTGCTAACCAATACAGCCCTCCCTTTTTAGAATGACGTGGAACATCTGGAATCCTTGCCTTGCACTGCTGCTGAAGTGAATGGCTGGGTGGAAGGCAGGGACAGCAATTGTCGCAGTCATTTTGGCCAGCCATATTGAATATATATGATGTGGAAACTAAGGGCCATTGGCCATCTGTGGATCGTCATTGCCATGCGATTCAGCCCACATGTTCGTTTTTCTTCAATGGGCTGTGTTGCCGTTGCTTTGGCGGGTCGCCTGGAGGCCGATGAAGACAAGTTTCTGCAGTCGGTGACAGCATCCATGGCATGCTGGCGGGTTGGAAACCTTGCAAGAAACAATTGCCACACAGTGGTTGATGTTATTCCTTTGCAATCTTGCGCACACATTTTAGGGGATCAAGCAATTCAAGGAACTTGATATTAGCTCATTCGGCAAGCCGATGTAGACTGTAAAGAATTCCAAAAGCAGCTGTGCAGACCCACATCATATCTGTCAGTGGCTCTCTGTTGGCAATGCACTGTCCCTACCGGAGCCCAACAGGCCCCGACATCTCGGCGAGGCTGCAAGGCAGTGATTTGGCGTTTTCTAGCACATTCTATCAGGGCGGATTTGTACCAAATGGGCCATTGACAGGGTGATTTTGCTGTTCTGAGCAGGCATGTGGCTGGGCGCAACCTTCCTGGCGTTGCACATGTCGATGACCCACAGCATCACCCTCTCAATGGTGGGTTCATACATGCCCACGGGAGAGGTTAAGGGGGTCGGCAAGCTCAGTGGAACTGCGTGGTCGCTAACCGACATTCTTCTGGGTAAGGGGCTGCTGTCTGGACTTGCGATCCACCTGTCATCCCAGCAACTATTTGCTTCTCGGATTTTGTGAGTGGGGGGAATGAACAGACATTCTGCGGCATGCAACTTGAATGAATTGTGCCGATGATCGCCTTGGAGGCAGACCGCCGTGTCGCCTCTTGACAAAATTAGGCGGAGCATTGACGCACATGCTGTCGACGTAGTATGCATTTCTTGGCTGGAGTCACAGGTGCCCTTTCGAGCTATGAGGCAAGAGCTCTCAACCACGTGTGCTCCCTCGTCGTTAAGGGAAATGACAGCTATGCATGGCTGGCGACCTTGTGGTGCTTCCTGCCTGCTATCAGATATCAACAGTTTCCAGTCGTTTCGCACCTGACTTTTAGTTTGACAACGCTGTGTGTATGAAATCCCCGACGTCAATGCACCGCCCTTGCGCCTGCAAGGCGATGTCGGGCGCAAGTTCCCAAGCAAATGTTCTGAACGCCATGTCATTGAACTTTGTGGCCGATTCAGTTGTCATTCTCCGCCTGTTCGACATCGACATTCACAAGCCCTTTTGCGACCCTGCAGGCTTTGCTCTGGTGGCCAGCAACTACGTCGCCGGCGTGCTCTCCGACGTCACGGCGACAAGAGGCCTGGGGAACGTTGGCTGCTTTGCGGGCGGCGCCACCGCATGCCTGCTGGCTATACTCCTTCTGAACTTGTTTGCAAGGTTTGGCGATTTGGAGAAGCAGGAGCTCGTGGTTAAGAGGAAGAGAGGGAAGTAGGAATGCGTGGGATGTGGGGTGGCACGGGTTCATGAACGATACGACACGATATGATACGGATTGACTTCATATGCGGAACCCCCGGGGTGGCTTGGGGGTTGCGGTGGCTGAGGGGGCTGCGGGAAGCACGGGTGCACCTGGGTGATGGTAGTTTCGGCCTGCAGTTCATGTCAAGTGCTGGCTCAATAGTTGCTCGACGTTCGATTGATTCTTTTGCAGGGGTTTCCAATAATGGCATTTAGAATGGACCTGCTGCGTTGCGATGTAATCAATAAGGCGTTGCGCCGCGGCGGTCGCCTTAGCGAAAATGCTGGGTGGGGTGGATGCATAACGGCCCACACCCAACCAGAACACTGCAGCATGTGCGCTGCGATGTTGTACACTAAAGCATTGAAATTTGGGCAAATGCTGCATGTACATTAACGTATTCTGCCAAATCTTGCGTTGGCAATTGTTTTGTCATGTTTACGGTCAAGTTGAGGCTAAGCCCAGCAGCACCCCAGCGTCAACCCTTGTGTCGATGCCGGCAGTGCTTAGTAACAGTGTTGGAAAGTGCGATGCATCAATTCAGCGCGGAAAAGGGAGGCCGGGTGGCCCACCAGCTCGTTTGACAATGCGTGCCCCCCCGTCCCAAGGACTGCGGGGTTTCGGCCAGTGACCAACGGCAGGAATGCACCTGGCGAAGATCGACGACGTCTACTCCCCACGATTTCATTGGGTGAGCCCACTGCATCGATGTTGATTAAGGAGGTGCACCCCTGCCCACCCCCAAAAGGCTTCCCATTATTACAACGATGCAACTGACTGGCACCACCTCTTATGGTCCCGGCGAAGAATCATGGCCTCCCCCAATTTACAAGTGGGCTTCGATGGCTGTGGCACGGCAACTAGTCTTCTCCATTCCGCGGATGCGCCTAAGGTGAAGCCCCATCTCCCCAGTGATGCGCAATGTCGACGCAAAATAGCATCCCTTATTCTCCTGCCAGAGCACCCCTGATAATGACTGGATGTGCCGTACGAGTGAAGAGTACCTACTTGCTCCGACAGACACCACATCACCGCCAACAGCCCCTTGTAGCTACCCATATACCCTTATATACTCCTACGTGCCATCATGCTGAGCAGTTGATGGACGTGTTCAATTTCTTCCAGCAACCTGCGGATTCCTTCTCACGAGCCGCGCAGTTCCAGAGGGCTATCTCAGTTTGTGTTGAACAGCACGTCGAAAATTTCCGAGCTGACTCCAAAGGCTTGGTCGGGGTCCTTGTAGTGGTGGACGTTGTGCCTCGCCCGCAGGACCCTCAAAAAGTCGCTCGGCAAGTCGTAGTTAAGGTGCAGGGCGTAGTGGGTCAGGTCGTAAGAGAGGTAGCCCAGGAGCATACCCGACCAGACGGTGGCGGACAGATGGCCCGGCAGGAGGTAGGACAGGACCACCCACCAGAGCGCCGCCAGGGCTCCGGCCGGGGCGACGGGGAACACGCAGCGGTACTTGTCCATGGGGTACTTGTGGTGGCTGCCGTGCAAGATGAAGTGGAGTGCGATGAGCGTGGGCTTGCTCGTCTCTCTGTGGAAGATGTACCTGAACGGCACGAGATCGCTCCTGTTATGCCTGCAACACGTGGAGGGCGGCAGCCATCCAATTTGGACAATGATTAACACTGCCGCAAGTTCATTCTGTATCTGGCACCTTGGCATCCATCGCGCTATTCGCGCGCTAGGAACCCACACTGCTTCTCGGCGTTGGGCAAACAACCTGGGAACCACAGTGTGGAAGATCAAACATGGAGGGTACCATGTGCGCATTGCAGGACAAGCGCAGACGCCTGTAATCCGCCGGGTGATTGCAGGCGAGTCAAACAGGACGACAGCGCCCCAAGCGTTCAGAACAATTACACTTTCGCGACACAATCAATTGGCCAGTCAAATATAGGCAAAACTTTGGTCATGTTGTGTCTCTCTTGCCCCTTGTCTGCCCACCTGTGCGCACCGTACTCGTGGACCTGCCACAGGGCGAATCCCAGACACAGCCCCGAGACGATGTCCGCCTGCGTGGAGATGCCCGAGGCGTACGCGCTCCACAGGACGGCCACCATGATGGGGAGGAAGAACGTAGGGCCCACCCACCACAAGGACACCGTCAGCACCTCCAAGGCGCCCCACCGGAAGAATCGGACTCTGCCGGGCTCCGCCTTGTGCACCCACTCCCAGTAGTCGTCGCCCAGCTTTCCCACCTGGCCCCACATGGGCTTGTTGCGGTCGATCGACACCGTCATCGCCCGCTCATGTTCCGCCGGCTTGTCGACCTCCGTGGACGTTGCAACGGACATGGCGGCCTGCAGTTGGTAGTTAATGTGCTGCGCGATCCTGTGGGACGTGCCCAAGGTTTGACCTTCGGAGATGAAGGCACCGGCCCCGGCAGCGTGATTTCGGGCTGTCTTCTATCTAGCTGGGTTGCAGGTGGACGACCGGATTGCGCCCCTTTCGTCTTGCCTCTGCTCTGCGTGCGCGGACACAGCCACTCAACACGGTCCCTTGCCCGAGCCGCATCATCCACACATCCGGGTTGGCTTCTTCGCAAAGGTGCATGAGTGTCGCCAGAATGCATCTCGACCCGGAGAACGCGGTTCCCAGTTGCCAACATCCCTTGCAAGCAGGCGTCGCAAGAAAAGTTCCTGGCAACCTCTCGCGCAGGCGCATTCTACGGGACAGTGGCTGTCCGCGGCGCAAGAGCAAAAGGCCATTGACAACATCTGCTGTGCCCGTTGATTCATGCTGACCAACATGCTCCCCCCGCATCCAAACGAGCGGGCGCTGTTCGCCAGGTCGCAGCCCACGACCGCGCGCGGCGAATTCATTCGAATCGCAGCGGGATTCATGACCACCCGTGCATGCTTGTCTCCATGGGCACGTCCCGGGAACAATCGGTCGGCTTCGCCCCGCCCCTCAGCAGAACAACGACCGAACGCACCGCAGCCCTCCGCGCGTCCGCGGCCGCCGCGGTGGTCGCGCGGCCGCGCCTGCCGCGCGCCACGGCAGCCTTCCCTCGCCGCAGTCGGCCGCCTGCGCCCACCGCCCCCTCCGGCGCGATTTGGAGGCCGAGATGCGCACCAAAGGCTCGGGGCCGGCATCGCCAGTGTTACGCTACACACCGCGCTCCGCGATTTGACGCCGGCACCGCCGCGCTGCCGGCGCCGCTGGATGCATTTGCGGCGCCGAGTCCCGCGCAAATCGCAGCCACGCTCACACGGGAGACATCACAGCACCTCATTCAGTGGCCAATGCGGCCTGCGACGCCGGCACTGCCAGTGTTACGCACATCCCCGCGCTCTGCGATTCGACGGCCACACCCTGCACTGCTAAATACACCAGCAGTGTCCAGCGCCGCGCCAATCGCAACCGCGCTGGCAAGGGAGACGCCACGAGCACTTGATTCGCTGGCCGGCTCGGCCTGCGACCCGCGGACACTAACGCTGTCGCATCCTGACACAGTTCCGCATAAACACCTGCAGGCTGCCTGCTGCTCCGGGCCCTTCGCGGGTTGAGTGCTCGGACCCCAGCGCGTCAATTCGCCCTGGCCGAAGTCACCGCAGGCGCAGCGGGGCGCCTCCAGGCCTCCCGCCCTCTCAACCGCCCTTTTTGGGTGCGAGTTGCGGATCTGCGGCAGGAGTAAGGGCCCCTCCCCGGGTTTTTGCCCAGGGAAATGGCCGATGTTCGTGAGGGCATGCCCTTGGGCATGGGGCGTCCCATCACATGACGGGCACGATGATATGATGCCATGCATGAAGGGGGGGGGGATGCCTGGGGCGGGGAGGCGGGCGTGTGGACCCCACACTCTCGTCCTTGGAGGCAAGGACAAGCGTAAATCATGAAACGGCAGGAATGCGGTAGCTCTCCAGTCGCCAGTCGGTCGCTGGGTTCGGGGCTTTCAAGGTTGTGTGATAAAGCGCCTCAGGGCGTACCCTGATTCACAGCGGGAAACGACAGTAACTCGGGGAGTTCCACTGGGAACTCGGGGTGCAGGTCCCAGGTATTGGCACCTGTGTCGCTTGAGGCGGGAAGCGGCATTGCTGGGGCCACTTCAACTAACGGAGAGAAACCCATGTATCACAATGGGGAGGACAGAGCGCGCGTGCCCTTGCATGCAGGGTTGGCATCAAAATTGGACTTGAGGCTTGGTGGATGCTGCTGAATTGAAGCTGATCATGTTCTCGCATTGAGCCGCTTCACATCATGACCGGCTTCAAATTAGGAGACAAAAATGGGCGCTGGCTATGAATCAGGCATCCTCTGGGGCGCAGCAATTATGCTCAGATTCGATGTTGATGGAATTACTGGCAGATTGCACCCTGGTAGTTTTGGACGAGAGCGAAGGGAGCTGTGAACTCCAGGCACATTTTCAAAGAAAGCCAAGGCTCGGTTCAAACAAGCAGCCTTGTCCAGAGCATGCCAGATCGCAGGGCAGCCTCCCTACCAAAGTAGGGCCCAGCTATCCCGACTCATCCCTTCTTGCTCCTCTCCGCCCATCTTGAGAGTCATCACCATTCACTAACGTTGTGTCCGCAGCACAGTGGTAGACGCTAGCGTCTGCAATCGTGTGCTTTTATGGGCAACCAAGGGAAGTCTGATTCGCCAGCGAATCTGGCCCCAACAGACACAGCTTTCAGTCTGCAGTATCGACGGTGAGTGAACTGACAGGGGCTTAGGCTCTCTCTCGCAGTAGGGGCCCTGGGGCGCATCAAGTCCCCAGCATTCAGCCTTTCGGCTGCGCTGCCTGGCGCATTCCTTTGCTTGATGCATTCCCATTTTCGCAGAATTGTCCATACTATCACTCCGGTTCACGCTGTCAAAGCCGAAACTGAGTGTGATCTTTTCAGGAGTGCATTCAAGTCAGAATGCCAAATAACACCCTTCATCCAACAGAAAGGCACAGCGGAGGAGCAAAAGGTGCAGCAGCTTTGCCCTCAACCACCTTCAAATGAATGCATCCTCCCAGGTGCCACAAGAGCTTGCATGTGGCAGGGCCTGAGCGGTGACACATCAATCGTCCGTTTGTAATCGAACACAGTGTTCAGCATGCAAATGAGGCAGCTACGGTTCCTGGCCCAGCTTGCCGATCCAGTCCCAGCAGCGTAGGAATGCTTTGCACATTCCGACCAACAGCATGCTGCCCTCCTTGCCATGCATGACCAGGGGCCCACCCTTCCAGGGAACACACCACACAGCACGGCAAGTAGGCTCTCAAGGCATGATGGCCCCAGAAGACCCCAACAGCAGCGGGCATGCTGCTGCCGAAAGCCGGAGAAATGAACAACGTCCTCCAAGCCACTGCTGAAGGGGCTCCGGCCGTCATCCCCTGGCAGGTGCCAAGGCAGCGTCGGACATGTTCTGAAAGACACAGGCAAACATGCTTTTGCTGTCATCACCTTGCGGCTGGTTCCAACGTCAGCCACCCTCGACAGCCCGCTGCACAAGCCTCTTTTTCACGTCCTGGTCATCTTTGCATCTGTCCCACTCTGCCATGGATATGAGTCCTGCAATGGGCAGTTCTTGTGCCTCCAGCAGCCTGCGTGCCAGCCCCACCTCACCCAGCACGATGCTGCCTCCATTACGATTCACCGACATGCTGTGAACAGGGACCAGGCCATGCATCCTGCCTTCCTTCTCGACTAGCAGCTCCACTGCCAGTTGGCCGCCCCCCAACACAGAGCCAACCTGGTGGTAAATGGACAGCTCCTCGAGTTGTGCACTGATGCTTGTAATGAAGGAATTGGTGCGCATTCTGTGTGCAACCTGCCCCAAATGAAGGAATGGTTACTATCCGACAAGCCTCAGGACAGTGGACAGCAGCACCCACCAATGCATTGTTCACAGCAACTGTTTCCCACATGGATGTATCTTCATGCACCTTCTCTTTTGTTTGCCATAAGAGACTAATGAACTGTGAGTTTGATGCGAGCTACCGGAAATACAATGCTCTCTTTCCTGCTCTATTTAAGTTTGCTGGTTGTGGGGAAATGCTGCAAGATGCAAAGATGATCATGGACTCACATGAATGTTCCATGCATTGGCATCTGTTGCATTGCATCTTAGGAGGTGGATGAGCGCAAATGTGTATATCTTTGACACGGTGACGAACAATGGAGTTCTGCAGTTCCAAATTTTCCATACGATGAGTTGTGTCAAAAGAAGCAAGAGCAAACTACTTTGGGCACAGTCCATGCCATGTTCAGATGGCAGCCTTGCTGGAACCACTGGCAGTTGAGTTTTGAGCCTTTCGTTAAGCTTGCGAGAAATCAACCAAAGTCCACTGTTGCGTTGCCAATGGGAAGCACACGTAAAGAAAAACAAGCTGCTGAAACGATGCAACAACGGAAATTGAGCGGCATTCGTGTTGCGGCAGCTTATCAGCATCCAGTGTCAACCACAGAAGCTGTTGTGCCTCTATCCATGCTTACAGTTCTCCAAATAAGCTCAAGGCCAGTGCTCTGCCACATTTTCTACAAATGCAATTCGTTCAAATTGCCAACAATGATGCCATAGTGAATGGATGACAGGGCTAGGGATATGCAAAATCATCGTTGTTCTCTTCGCGTGTGCTGCTGTCTGTGGACCTATGCACATTGTGCATGCTGATGTTGTGGGGTTATGATTTTTGCCAATCGTTGTGAGGTCTGTGTAGACTGCTGGCAAGGGGACGCTGTTTGACTACCTGAGTTCAGCAGAGACACGTGACATGACCAGTGTGTCGAATTTTTAACGTTGTCTGTAAGGATGTCCATTCATTGAACACCGATGCCATCCGCATTTCTTCCCCTGCAGGTCGCCTCACCTCTGCCTGCCACACCTCCCTCTCTTTCCGCAGCCGGTCCCTGGACTCCCCGAACAGCAGGCCCTGCAGCTCCGCCCTCTCCTCCCCCGGGAACAGCATCGTCAGCGCCACCACCCTGTCCAACGCCACGCTGGGCATCGCCACCTTCGCCAGCAGCTTTTGGAACCTCCTGCACGCCCTCTCCATGTCTCCCCTCTCTAGGGCGCCCATCATCGCCAGACCCTGCACCGCGGCCACCAACTCTCCAGCGGTGAATGACCCCATCCTCGGCCGCGCCCAGTCCACGCACCTCCCCGCCACCTTCCCCGGCTCCGGGTGCCCCAGCCGGCCGCAGGCCCAGAGCATGTCGGACACCGTCTGGGCGATCACCGACTTGGGTGAGTCGTCGAACCGGGCCAGGGCGGTGTCGCACAGCAGGCCCAGGAAGGCGTCACCAGGGTGGTAGCCCGAGAACGCCATCGCCCACAGCAGGTTGGTGCAGTTCTGGGCATTCAGCTCGCCGATCCTCTCCCCGCCCATCTCCACCAGCGCGTCCAGTACCTCCTGCGGGTAGTTCCCCGACTGGGCCAGGGCCCAGATCACGGGGATCGTCTCGGTCACCGGGATCCTCCCCTCCGCCAGCGCCGCCACCAGCCCGCCCTTCACCATCGCCATCAGCTCCGCGTCCGAGAACCACAGCCTGCCGGACGCCCAGCCGATGTCCCTCAGCTGCGCCGTGTCGAACTCCTCCCGCCGGGCCATCGTCTCGCGCGCCAGGCCGCGCAGGAAGGCCCGCCCGCCGACCGTGGCGTCCGGCGCGTTGGCCTTCAACACCCGCCCCTTGTCATCCAGGTGGGTGTACACCGCGCGCTTCCACATCGTGCGCACGTCGTCCGCGGTCAGGCGCGACCGGTTGGCGGTCATGTACTTGTCCAGGGCGCGCCAGTGCTTGGCCAAGGCGAGCTCGCGGGGCACCCGGCCGCGCCAGGCCCGCTTCCGCCGCCTCCCCTTGTCCCGTCCTCTCGCCCCAACTTTGTTATCCTCCACCGCCTCTGGGGCCCCATTCGACTCCGCACCTCCCGCTGATTCCGATCCGCCCGCGGCGTCCCCCCCGGCCGCCCGCTCCTCCGTCGGCTTGTTTTTCGCCGCAACGCCACACCATAGTCGCCGGCGCACCGAAATCTCATGAGTCGATGCCGATCTGTCGCATCCCCAAATCTTGCAGTGCCCTCCCCATGCGTGCGTCCAATCGCCTCTCCCTGCCCCTGCCAGCGGTCCATCGGAATGCCCGTGGGTCGTCAATGGGGCCGCGATCGCGGTGGTCAGAAACTGACCCCCGTCATTGCGGGCGGCGGCAAAAGGCAAGGGCGAGAGCGGCGGCTGCGACGAAGCCAGGGACTCGGCGAGTTGGTCGCCGTTGCGCCCCGCGAGCCGGAGCACTGCTCTGCGGACGCCGGGCGCCGCTCTCCGCATTGGGAAGTGAGTGCTCGGGTTCAGACTTGCACAGCCAGAACCGAGTGGGTCTTCGGGCCTTTTGCACCCAGCCACGTGAGATGCGTACGCCGCAGAGGGGTGCGTGTGTGACTGAAAAAACAGAATAAATAAAAAAACTGTGACCACTCATACTGACCACAGTTTCGGTGCGTGGATGACTAAGAAATCGCACGCATCAAGGCGAACAGCCCATGAGATCAGTGACGGGGGGGTGGGTGGTGTGCGGGTGCGGGCGGGAGTTGAACAAACAGAAACCGTTCGTGGCCACTCAGAATGACCACAGTGCGTGGATCATGAAGAAGTCCTACACATCAAGGCGACCTGTCCGAAATATTGGACTTTCAGCGAACGCATCACGGACAGAGCGTTTGTCGGGAAGAAACAGCGCACTGGGGGCAGCCTCCCCCCTCAGGCATCCACCATTTCCTCAACTGAAGTGAAGAACAACAACTCACCGACTCTGCTCTGCTCAGGCAAAATAGGAAGCTGACGGCCACCTCATTGCCTTGTTCTGTAAAAAATCATGATGATGATGATGAAGAACAACGAATCACCACTGATCCGGGGCTCGCGAACCGCATCCCAGCGATCCCACCGCCACGCCCGGCAGCCACACCCCATGCCCACCCCCACGTCCCCCGTCCGACGCGGCCCGCTTACTGCCCCCAACCTCCGCTTCCCCCCACCACAACCCCCGTCAGCATGAGTACGAGCGCACTAGTAAGGGCCACAAGTACCAGTTCCCTCCCTCTGTCCCTCTCCCCACCCTTTCTTCCCCTCCCCACCCCTCTCCCTCGCCCCTTGCCCCGCGGCGGTGCCTCGCGGCCCCCCCTCCCCCTTCCCCCCCTCCCCTTCCGGCTCGAGCGCCCGGGGCCGTGGGGTCCAGCGGGCCCGGGCGGGCGCGCCCCGCGGGCGCTGGGCCGCATGACGGCCGCCGGCGCCCGCCAGCGCGTGGCCGCGCCCTCCGCGGTGCTCGTCCTGCGCCGCATGTCCAACACGCTGGTCAAGCTCGCGGCCGCCGCCTATATCCTGGCATGGGCCCTTTCATGTGAGTCCCGCGATCTCCCGTATAGACTCCCGACCCACCCCAACTTGGGTCGAATCGATTTCAAGCATTCCAGGTCCCTCGCCCTGCCGCCGGGCTGGCTCGGATCTCCTGCGGGCACGTCAGCTGGCTCTGAGTCGCGCCGTTTAAACCCCTTTGTGTTCGCGATCCCAGTCACGAGCAATCGGCCGCTGTGGAACCTGCCCGTGGCGGTCCTGGCCGTGGTGGCCTTCAGGTGGATGTCCGGGCGCGTGGTGGTCGCGCCCCGGGATGGCGCCGCCGCCCTGCGGCGCGTGCCGCGGCGGTACGCGGGCGGCTCGTCATGGCAGGGCCCGCGGCCGGCGATCGGGCCCGAGGAGGGGCGCGACAGGGACGCCTGGCGGCGGGGCGTGAACGCGCCGATCGTGGAAAGCGCCTGGGACGCGCTGTGCGGGAGCGTCGTCCAAGAGGTGGGCCGCCGGGCTGGAGCCGGGGGCGCGGGATGCCCGTCGCGCGCAATGGCCGTTGGAATCTGACCGAAAAAAGGTCAGGGGGGGGGGGGGCGCGATTCATCGGAGTCGTGCTTTTGATCGATGCGGCGCATTTGGGGTGGGGGTTCCTCAACGGAGGGACATTGCTGCCTCGTCGGCGCGCCCCTCGCTGCTGGCGACGTTTGATGGATCGGGGTCGCGTCTGGGGAGGCCGCCCGTGGGCTGAGCTTGTGCGGCGTGTGTGGCCGCAGTTCGTGTACGATTCCTGGTACATGTCCCTCACGCCGGACCGCGACTTCCCCGCGGAGGTGCGGCGGCTGCTGAACGAGGCCTTCGCGGACGTGGCGCAGAGGGCCAGGAAGATAGACCTCAGGACGGTGCTGCTCAGGTGACGGTGGGGCGCGGGGAGCTTTGTTCTGGCACGGAATGCCGCGGGGAGGAAAAGTGTGGTCAGGTTGTGGGCTGCATGTTTGGCCCACCTGTGAAATGAATGGAGAAAATCGGTGCAAGGGCCCACCGGCGTTCGTCGGACCTGAAAGCCCACGATCGGGAAAAATACCCAGGGAACCTTGGTGGCGCCAAGACAGTGGTTGTGAGCCAGCCGTGGGGTGAGCAGTTTTGCAAGGCCGATGCTGGCGATTGAGGCCGCGTCAAAAATCATCTGCTCCCGTGAGTGCTACTGTGGTGTGGATCAGAACTTGGTCTTGCATACAAAGGAGCGAATGCCTTCTTGACGTAAAAGACAGCAAGCCATATTGTGGGCACAGTACTTTGGGGTAGCATTTTGTGTCAGGCTGTCCCGCACTGAAAAATTGTCGCGGAAATCTGCACTGCAACAGGAGCAATGGGTTCTAAGGCACTCAAATTACAGCCAAATCACATCGATGCGACAGTTTAGTTCAGTTCCCAACGTGGTGTTTTCTTCACCCAGCCATGCATAATGCGCCCCCGTCACATGCATGCTGTGCTGGGGCTCTTCTCGAGCACCTAAAAGTGGCAAGGACGCCCTCAAGTGCATTACAAGAAATGTACAGCAATAAACAACACTGAGAAACATGAAAAAAAGGCTCGTGCAGGGGACCCACTCTCAAAGTATTTGCAATTTACTTGTCCTTCTGCACTTGAAACATACTTGCTGTGAAGAGGGGTGCCCATTGACAGTATGTCTTTCTTTATTTACAATCGGCAACCACACAATACAACAGTCTCATTTGGCCTTCTTTCACAATTTGCTAGCGCCCCCTTTCAGTGCCTTTTCCCCTTTGTCTTTCTCAAGGGAAACTGGGTGGCCATGCAGGGAGCTATGTGATCTGTTTCTGGATCACCTGGATCTCTATCGACGCACAAAGCAGGGCGTTGGGCTTTTGAACGAAGGCCACCTGACACCAGCAGCCAGAGATAGGGCCTTCCAGCAAGAGATGAAAACTGAAGGCACCCTGCACCCCAGCATGTGCTCCAGAGATGGACACTACAGGGTAGGGGGCACTTCCCTGTCAGATTGAAACACACTGGGGAAGGCTGCATCGGTGTGTGGGCTACAAACACAATCAGCAAAGGCTGGTGTAGTGGAATTTGCATCAATGCTATTGCTGTCTTAACAGGCCCTTGTTGTGTGTGGTCCTCTCCTGCTCAAAAGAAGGTATCAATCTCCAACGAATGTACACGGGGGGCGGAGTAGTGACCTTTGCAATCTTCAGTATCATTCTTGGATCCTCTTATTGCTTACCCACATCACACTATGCATATAATCTTGCTCGAATACCAGAACTGGACGGTTGTTCCAAGCACACGCTACGCGCATTATGGCCTCGCACTGCTGAGACTCAGCTTCTGTGCATGTGCTGAGTTTAGTTCACTGTATCAGTACGAATTGGACTTCCAGATGTTGTTGATGCCTTGCTTTTGTGAATCATAACAGGACATTGCCACTGCTTCGCAAAATTCCTGCATTGAAATGTATGCTGGGCTCGCTTCGACCTGAAGGTCACTGTACCTGTGTACATAAACTGGAAGTACTTTGCCACAGGCAGTTTATCATGGTGATCAGAAGTCACAAAGTGCAGCATGTGATGTGTTTGGTTTGTTGATCATGTTCGGTTTGCTGATTCGTTGATGTCCCCTGCTGCAGGTGATCAGGTGCATTGCAGAGAGCATAGTGTCATGCTCTGTGTCAAAGTGTGACCTTGCCCGTCCATATGTAAAGGCATTGTCACGGGAGCTCGTTGCAACATGCGTGCTGCGGCCTGTTCTTATGTACTTCAACCGATACAATGCATCTAGGGTGCGTGGTCTGACGGGTGATGTCTCTCCGAAAAGTGGCTTCTCTTGCTTCCTGTTTTGGCCAGTGATGTTGTTCACTGTCTGCTTTTTGCGCTTGCACTTGCACATTGCCAATAACTACTGGAAGGGAACAGCGTGGTCTGGAAGCAACCATTTTTGGCGATGAAATCCATTGATGCATGCAAGTGACAAGACCACCTCTGCTGCATTTCGTTTTCCTGCAGGCTGCACTGTCTCATTGTAATGGTGGCTCCATTGCTAGTGTTTGAGAACTGCCTTTGTTTAAATAGCCCCTTGCTGCTTTTGCTTGTGCCTGTATGTGCAAACTGCATGCCAACTTTGGGGTGGTTGCCACAGTTAGTACTATCCATGTTTCCTGAAGAACTGGAGCAGATCCAGGCCAAAATAGCAAAGAGAATGGAGGAGCTGGTCGGAAAGAAGGAGCTTATGAATGGACATTTTGAATTTGAGGAGCGTGCGCGGAGAGCTGCAGAGCTTGAAGCGTGAGTCAGACAGCGCGCCTCAGAAATGCCACATCAGTTAGGGCTGTGCACTAATGCCAGTGGACTGTTCCATACCATCTTAACTATGGCTGCATTTGTTGAAACATGACAATCCAGTGTGCTATCACAGTTGTTGCAATGTTGGGAGACTATTGTGCAATCAGTAAATTTTTTGTCCATTAGACTTTTGCATTCTTCTAATGCCGTGAATTTTGAGCAGCCAGTTCTTGTGGCATTGCATGTTAAGTGGTTACCCATCGCAGGGCCAGTCTCGCTACAAGCTTTTGATTATGTGGTATTCTGGTTTCTGTTGGCTTGAAGACATTCGCTTGTGGGCAATCTCAGAGTGCAGTTGCAGCCTTCGATGCAAACGACACCAATTCCTTTGAAGGGTGTGAAGGTTGAATGTTGCATGCTTTGGCCCCTGTAGGAAAGCTCACAAGAAATATAAGTACAGGCAAAGCAGGACTCCAAACCACCAACACAAGGTTTGTCCCCAGAATCTAGTGATACTTCCTGTAATGGGGTTTGCGTTTTGCATGTCTGCATTTTTCAGTTCACTGCACATGCCCTACGGATAGCACATCGCTTTTGCTGTTTGCAGCTCTGCCACTAGATGCTGTGCTTGCAATGTTGACCTTGAGTTTGTTTATATTGTGTGTTCCATTTGTTACTGTGAGTGGCAATATGGTGCTGGGGAACAAGAAAGGGTCATGCACAGGGGCAGATGGCAATTTTGCTCTTATTCTCACAGCACTTTTACACTGGCAGGACCATTATTGCATGTCATGTGTTGCAGTTCACTCGCTTCCTTCAAATAGGGCTGTCTTGGCCTGTGGTGTAGGCGAATAAGATCTGTTTTGTGTTGCGCACAGAATGAAAAGGATGCTATTGAAAGTCCTCTCTGGCCACCATATTCAAAAACCCATGTCATGTGGACGCTTGCCCTCCCTGACACTGGTAGCAGAGCTGTCAACAACAAAATAGAAAGGAAGCACTGTAGTTTCTTGCTGGCAATCCATATCAGATGGCAAATAACAACTAACAGCAAGTTGTGCGCTTCCCAGGAGGCCAGCTCTGCTGAAGAGCTGCCTGCTGAGGGGTCCAGTGTGGCAGGCAAGTCCAGGGGCGTCGATGACCCCTGCGAAGACGAAGGCACCCTTGGGGGGGAGGAGTCATCAAACAGGGATGACAATGCCTCTGAGGCCAGCTCAGCACTCACTGAGCAGCGCTCTGTGGTGTCTGACCCTCTCAGCACCGCATCTGCCCCCTCTCCAAGTCGTTGTCCGACCTGCTGCCGGTGAGGACATATCCATGTGATCGCTTGGATAACTTATGCCTGCACACTGCCCCTGCAGGTGCAGGATGGTGCAGGGCATGCTCCCACGGCTTTATTTGAACGGGTTTGCCCTAGTCCCACTCTCTGGAGGTGTAGAACGAAGTGTTGCAGATGGGCATGTGAAATGGCTGTCTCATGCTGCACACTGCCACCAGTGCGGTGTTTTCATTGACCTTGCCTTAGATAATAGGGCTGCTGTGGTCACTGCCTGGAGTAGCATAGAGGAGCAAAGAGATCATCCTGGACCAAAGTCACTGCTTCAGGTGCCACAGCTGCAGTTGTTGAGCAGTGTTGCTTTCAAGAAGAATGTGGACCATTTCCGTCGCTTCAAAATCCAATTCCGTGGGAATTGAGTGCCCTTGCACTGTCTCTTCCAATCTGACAACTGCTTGCTGCAGGTTTGGTGGACCTTTATGTGCACAGACTGGAAGGAATGGAGGATTTTGGCAGACTTGACAGTTGAGCTTGCTTGTTGCTGCTAGGGCTCCGGAAATTGCATCGCCAGATGCAGTTGGCATGGATGGGATGCCAGGATTGGCCACCGTTGGATCCAGTTTGGATGCTTCATCACCTGGCTTGCAGTCAGCTAATTTTGAGGCACAGGGAGAGGCGTACTCCTCGATCGTCGGGTGGCCAAGGGCACGAGTGGTGGCACCAGAAATTAAGATGGATGGATCCAAAGAATTTGTGGTGTTCAAAATTAGGGTGGCAGATGATGAGGGAGAATGGACTGTTGCAAGGAGGTGAGATCACGTTGCTGTGCTGCAACCTCCTTTCTGTGAGAAGGCGGTGGATTTCGAAGGGATACAGTGTTCATTGAATGGGAGCACCGCACTGCACATATTGTTCTTCCATTGCCCAATACCACAACACGTTCAAGAGTTTATTTTGCTTCTCCACGCGCTAATGAATAAGTCATCGTAAAGTGATATTGGAGGCCCCCTGAATTGAGCGGCGGAGGGGCAATAGATCGAATCACATCAGCAGGAAACTTGGCGAAACTCTTTGGATCCCTCATGTCGAAATCCACACCTGCCCAACAAAGTCACTAAACCTGTCAAGCAAAGAGAACTCTTGGGTCTGACTCGAGCATCTTTTTCTTCGTCAGATATCGAAACTTTGAGTCCCTTCACAAGAAACTTCGAGACATCCCTGAGTACAGGGCCCTGGGTGCAAAGCTGCCCCCAAAGCACTTCCTCCTCCAGTCGAAGACGACGGAGTTTGTGCAGGGCAGGCGAGTGGCGCTCGACAAATACCTGCAGTGTGTTCTCAGCTCTGGAGTGCTAGCCTTCCACCCTGAGGTTCTCAACTTCCTGTGCAAGGAGCACTCTGGGACATACCGGCCGGATGCCGATGTTAGTCTGTTGAAGACGGTGGCGAGCAATGCTGACAATGTGAAGCACAGCTTGAAGACAGCAGTGGGGGATGTGCTCGTGGAAGGTGAGCTCGGTTGATTGGGCACGGGAATGTTGGATTCAGTTTCAAAGAATTTGGGATCTGGAGACTGGAGTTTGTGGGATAGTTGTAGTTTGGATGCTGGGGTTGCTTTTGCCTACATGTGGCAAAACAGTGCACTCGTAAGCCAGTGCTTGTGCAATATTGGGATAGCTGGATGGTGTCTGCCACTGGGTGTGTTTGATGTGGCTGCCAGAAGCACTGCATCTTATTGGGACTCGATGAGTTGTCCAATTTGCTGTGTCCTTTATGTCACTTTTCCATTGTTTGGGTGATGGCCTACGGTCTGTGAATGTCTAAAAATTTGGATGGGTGTTGAAGTTGCGATGGACCTTACCTGCCTTCAAGATGAAGTTAATGCATTGCTGCCAAAGCATATGCAACCTCAGCAGACCCCAGGTGTAGTTGTTACCTGTACATTGCACAAGTACTGCCACGGACATGGTGATCTGCAAAGATGGAGTATCCTAAAAGCAAGCCTGACTGGAAGGTAGAACAAATGGACGATTTGAAGGTGGTGCTTAGGTATGACACTTTTGTGCACACCGGAAGACACAGTTCGAAAACCTGTCATTGCATGTGAGATGCTCTCAAGTGAATTTTTTTCTGGAGTGGGGTGCGGAACATAGGGCATGTCTGTGTCTGCCACAGCTCCTTTGTGCATAGTTGTCTATTTCATTAATCAATGTGCCCTGTTGTGCACACAGGGAAGGCCCGTTTGTCTGGAATGACGAAATCACCAGTCAAACGCAGGGGTACCTCTGGGCCAACGAGGGGCAGCATTCCTGAGGCCTCCCCCAATGAGATGCTCCCCCAGCACTGGAGCACAGGCCATCTGCAGGACCACCCTCACGTCCATTTCAAGCAGCAGGACTTCCGGCTCTCCAACACAGGCCAGCACAGCGATGCTCTGTCTCCCAGGGCGTTTTCTGACGGCTCAGGACCCCTTTTTTCGATAGGCGCTGCCAGTGGGACACCAATTCGGGATGTGGGCACCCCTGGGGAGGTGGGACAAGTGCTGAATCTGCACCTGTCGTCGAGCGTGCCGGCCAGAAGGGAAGAACAGCGGGAGGCAAAGGGAGTGTACCTCAGAGCGTCGAGTGCTTCGACGGAGGGGTGTTTGTCAGGTGCCTGTCTCTGGATTTCATTTGTCTGAAGCCGATGGAGCATGGGCCCTGCACTTTGCAGGCGATGACTAACATATGCATGTGTTTTGAAACATGGAAGAATGGTTGTAAGACTGGAGGTTGTGTCAAATGCCAGCAGCACTTGTCTGCAACAGCAGCAACAGTGTGTTGTACATGCGACTAGGTGAATGTGACGAGTGTTGAACATCGCTCAAGAGAGGTCCTAGGGAGGTGTTATGTCGTGCATTCATGGATTCAGTCAGTGCACAGTCACACAACGCTTTTCTGACAGAGTGCAACTACTACCTGTGACACTGTAGTTTGAGGTTCAGGGTTGGGGAAACCAGTGGCAGGCCTGCAGAAATGTGTTGCAAGCAGAGAATTGTGTGACAGAACGATGTCCCCATGCACCTTGCTGGTTATTACCTGGAAACATGTGGCAGAGATTTTCACATGGTTCGAACGCCTGATTGCATTGTTGGCGACATGCATTGCTTCGACTGGTTTCTTCTGATGATTGCCTGGAATGGTTGCGTATCAGCCTGTCGTCTGTGTCTCCCCACAGATTCAATGCCCAAATCTCCGGCTTTGCGCGAAACATGCGGCACAGACAGCGGCCTGTACTCAGCCGAACTGGGCCACGAAGCCTCATCCTTGCGTCCACACTCTGATCCTGAGGACGAGCTGGAAACAGACTGGGATGCAGAGTTTGAGGACTATGTTGGGATCAGCGCCCCGCTGTACCAAGTGGTGGAGGGTGTGTTCAACATTCCGGCACAGAAGTTCTTCAGGAGACAGGTGAGCTGTTTCTGTTGTTGATAGAGTGGAATCCATGTACAGCGTGAGAGTGTAGAATGTCAGTTAAATCAGGAATTGACATGCGTGCATGTCGGATTTGTGCAGGTGCCATGCTAATTCTCTCTGGTAGTAGCTGTCTTTTCTGTATGCCAATTTCTCAGTATCCTAGCAGATGTTTTCCAAGGGAGTAAGGGAAGAGTGCTGATTGCTCTGCCCTTGCTCAACACATACCGACAAGCAAATTTCCAGCAGCACAGTGGTTCGTGGTGTTCAGTGTACTCTTCTCAGCAATTCGCTGCAGCGGCCAGCTGCGGGCCATCTCTGCGTAGAGTGACTGAACAAGGCTTTTGCGGAATGAAGGATGTGAAGTGTCCCACGATGTTGCCAGCCTGACCCACTCTTTTGCTCCTGAAGGTATTTCAAGCTGTACGGCAGTTGCTGTCGATGCTTGCTGGTGACGTCATCGACGTGTACTTGGTAGAGCAGTTGAAGAGCCTGCGCACAGAGCACACCATAGCCCGGATGATCCACATGCTGAAGAGCGCCCTTTGGCCTGGGGGAAAGTGGTTCGGTTCCTTGGGGTCCATCGCTGCGGCTCGACCGTCCAGTAGAGGGGGCCGACCAACAGGTGAGCACCTGTGTAGTGCGATCGGACAGGAAGTTGCAGGGCGGCTAAAGATGGGGTGCTTGTTTTGCTGTCTGGTCTTTATTTTCTGCGTGTTTTTTTCCCTTTTTTTGCGCTTGGGCCTTATACAACTTGTGTACGTGTTGGTTGTTTCTGTGCCGTTTCATTGATTATTGACGGTGTAGCTGCCTGATGGCTCAAATGCACAACGCTCAATTCGAACTTATGTAGATCCTTGCGGGATTATATTTTTGGGTTATAGATGTCGGTCATTGTGCCCCGATGCACACCTTTCCATGGAGGTCATTCATCACGTTGTATTTTCAACATTAGAGTGGACACCAAAATGAAAAATGGATTGCCAATATTAGTTCCCTTCACATCTCCCTTCCATGCTGGTAGTGCCCTCAGATTCGCCCATAATCTAAGCACTATTCCAAGTGGAACCAACACTGCGTACCTAAAAGTAAAGGAAGAGAAAAGGGATGCACGTGGTTGTGTTCGGGCCCTCGGGACCTCTGTGTTTTGAGAAGAGCAATTGTTCATATTCTACTGAGATAGAGTACGTTTGGCGTACATTGACGGTTCAGAAACTGTGTGCACGCCTGCGCCAGGCATAGACAAGGACAAGTACCTTGAGCCCCTGCTCCGGCCGCCCGACGAAGAGGAGATGGTGGAGCGCATGCGCCACCGGCTCATAACGCAGGCCACTCCGGCCTTCACCCACCTGCTGGGCAAGAGCACCTACTTGGAGGGCATGCAGGACGTTTTCGACATGCTGCAGCTGCCCACCTTTGTCACCCAGCTGGGATACGGCGTGATGGAGATCGCGGTGCTGGCCCTGTACCCCGAGCTGAAGGACATCTTCAGGAGAATACACGGGCCAGACAAAGCCCACAGGGACGGGGGCCCGGCCTCCTGACACGCGGCCCGGCCATGGCCATAGCGGCGCTTCGCTGTTGCTGTACAGTAGGGTCTGAGCGCGGGATGTGGGAGGAGCTCTTGTGCAAGGCTTTCTCCAATTGGTTGCCACCGGCGGGGGCCTTTTTTGTCGTGACGCTTACTTCAGCTTTCTGCTGGAGAATTCTTTTTGCTCGAGGGTGGCGGTGGGCGCCTGGGGGGCCGGGTACCGGGAATTGTTTTCTGCCGTTGGTACGGAACGAAATGTCGGAATTCATGAGGCGTGGAGGTTCTGTGCGCCGTCTGGACGCCTCGCCATGTCATGCCGTCGGCTTCTGCGAAGCCTGTGGCGCTCCGCCGCAAGTGGGGCACAGGTTGCAGCGCCGGCGGCTTGGCTTTCTCTCCGACTTTTGCCAGTATGTAAAGCGTTCTCTTCCATGGCAGTGACACATGACGCCTGTCAGCTGTGCTGAGCGCTGGCCTCGTGCACCATGGCACGGACCCACGAGGAGCGACCAAGCCCGGGAGGGCGACGCGACCAGCAGTCGAACTGGCAGTTCAGGCAAAAATTGCCCCTTCCAACCTGCGCCATCGGCGAACGCAGCTGCGCGGGCATCTCCACAGAACTCTTTCAAGTGCTTGACTGCAGCCCTTTCCAAAGAAATGCGGCGAAGGCCTCCGCCTCATGACGCGCTCGGTATGTGGCGCCACGGTCACAATGTGCCCCAATGCCCTAAATCTGTGCACTGCCTCCTTGCATACAGAATCTCACGCCCACAGCAACCACCCAGCATGCGTGGGTGATTGAGATGCCCAGCTTGTTGTTGGCTGCAGCCCCTTTGCCAATGAGGCATTGAACGCATCCCATTACATGGTTCGCAACAGCACATCAACCCTCACACTCGCACACAGGGCCATCCGCGTGGAATGCATAAACAACGCTTACAATATGCCGCCACGCAGGCGGATGAAGTAATACAACGCGCAAATACACCCTGCAACTGAAGGAACACACCGGACATCTCACCCTATGACAGCAGCTTGTTCTTCGTCGCGACCACGAGTGAGGACTGCTGGCCGAGCCTGTCTGCGGCATAGTTTTCATGCATGAACTGCGAGTCGACGACGTCTTCCGCTTGCGAGACAAGGTGATACTTTGTGATTGTCTGCAGGCCGCCGTGGGACGTGCTGTCCCCTTTGCTGGTCTTGGCCTGCCTGAAGTTCCAAAGGATGGAGTAGTTGCCGCAGGAGGCCACGATCCACCGCTCCTGGTGGCCGCTCTCCGTTACGAATGTGAACCTTCCATGACGCAGTGGTTTTCTTCCCTAGTGTCACAGCAAAGAGTTGGCAAATGAACTTCAAAACACACACACACACATACACACATACACACACACACACACACAAACATTTCCTGACCATTTAATGATGCATGCCACGTCAACCGTTGCTATGTTGGCTGCAGCAATCTCGTGTCTTTTCTATACTCCAAGCTGATCTTAGTTTCTGAACAGCTCTTTACATCCCTCAAAAGACAGAATTGATCAAGCAAAGTCGTCAGAAACCACAAGATCGGCAATTGCAGCCTGGATGGTCCAGCAGGCCGGCATCACGATTTTGCAAAGCAGCGCGGTGACCATTTCCAGATATCATCCTTTTTCACATAACGAATCTCAAAAGTAGGTTTCTTTGAGATTCGCCTGCGAAACACCACATCAGCTTGTAGCAACAGCACATTGAGGGCCCTCGAATCCACAAGGATTGGTGTCCCATCCATGCAATGTAGCGAATTCGCACAGTCATCAACTCAGTCCGAATGTGACAAGTGCAGCAAACAGAAGCCCATCGGACTCACAGCATGTATGGCAGCGTCAACTCCAGACTTGCACAGCACAGCAGCACTTACCAGCAGCACCGCATCTTCTGGCTTGAGTGCAAGAAGCTTGGGGCGAGCAGATATGGGTGCGATGGATTTCTTGAAACCGTCCACCATCTGCCCAGTCTTGGGATCCTTGCTGGTCGTCTTCAACAGCACCAAGAACTGGTCTGTCGTGCCGATCACCCACTTGCCATCGCAGGACACGTCCAGCTCCGTGATTCCAGGCCCCAGGGGTGGTAGCTGAGTGGCCGCGCGCGTCAGCTTCAGGTTGTTGCTGTACAGCCGAATCTTGCCGTCCGCAGACCCCACAGCCACCGAGCCGTCCCCCGAGGTGGCCATGCACGTGAACTTAGTTCCAGTTCCACTGGTGCACAAAACAAGCACTTTTCAGGGAGCGCCACTTGCGGTTCTGGACTGCACGGATTCGCTTGCCATGTGGAGGGCTACTGACCGGTCATGATTCTGACAATTGTGTTCAATGAAGACTTGTGTGAGGGAAGAACAGCGCCACACTGCCACAAACTTAGCCACACGGGTTCACCTGGCATAGTCCTTGCCGCCCACATACTCCACAATCGCATCTTTTGTCATCTCCTGCACCACGCCGTGAGGATCCCTTAGATCCCAGCGGCACAGGCGGTTGGTGTCCAGGCCCAGGAAGGTTGACCTATCGTCAGCTTGGGCACCCTTGGCCTCTGTCGTGATCTCCTTCATCGGAACATCCACGCCATCTTTCTGGAACTCCCATTCGGCAACCACCTTACCCGTCTCAATGTCAGCGTTGTACACAGTGCTGGTCCTCTCCTTCCCAAGTATGTTCATTTTCTTCTCGCCCTGCACGGAAGGCAGAAGCCAAGCAATCACAAAAGTGATAGCTACTGCGCATCGCTGAGCCATTCTACTCTCTCTGTAGGATGTGCGCAAACATGTGTCTCGTTACATCCAACATTTCAAGGCACATATCTGCCATGCTCAAATGTGACTCGCAACTGAGGATTGTGCAAGGTCAAGTGCCAGAGAAGACACTGCCAAGCTCCGCGGCGTTGGTTGGAACGATTAGATGTCCAAAGGATAGCTCACGTAGATAAGTAGAATGGAAGCCAGGACACTGATGCTGGAGGGAAGGAGTGGAAGTCCCCTCCCCCATCAGCCACAATGCACTTGCAAAATTTTCGTTGTGTCCAACTACTGCTTAAACGGCCAAAACATATGTGCCCAGGACCAGCAGATTTTACACCACCAAACTCCCAAGAATCTACCCAAAGGAAAGCATCAATCATGCACTGCACAAGCACATACCCTTCTTGTCCATCTTTGCCATTGTCTTACGTGGACAATGGCTCCGCTTAGGGAAATGAGACAACAGGTTGTGGACATACTGGAGATCTACTCTCAAGGGGCAGACACGGTGAGCAAGCAAATCTTGGGTCTGCATGTAATTTGCTCAAAGAACAAGTTGCCATTACCAATCTTTTCAAAAACAGCACCTATTTGAACTGTGTGCACATACCTGAGCCAGGATGGCCTTCACTGGTGTTATATTTTCACCGCTGGGGCTCTCTAGACTGAAGGACACAGCTTTGTCCTGCACTCGGCCCTCCATGTTTCGCAGCACAGACACGCTGGGGCCTGCCATGTAGAAGCTGTTGGCACCAATTCCCATCTTCATCAGTGAGATGGGGCTGCCTGCCTTCTCTATTGCACGCTGTCCGTCCCTCTGCTTCTCGAGGCTTGCATCGCTGGCCTGATGCATCAGAACCGAAATAGATAAACCCTTGCTGACTGGGAAGGATTGGCAGTCATGCACACAAGCACACCAAGTGCCAAGAGACAAGATGGGAGGCTCTGAGGCCAAGGGAAAGCCGTCTAATCCAGCAGTGAAGCTGATGGCTATCACAGAGGCAGAAAAGAGGTCACACAAAGGACACATTCACCTGTCTGATTCTCTGTTTTGCCACTGGAAAGCCATCTTCTGGTCCCTGAGTGCGAAATCAGTTCCCACAGCAAGGAATGATGGACAGCAGCAAGCACACAGTAACAAATGTGCCACAAAAGCTGTCCACACAACAGGACATGGTGCAAAGCAGTCCACCTATTTCTACAGCATACCATCTGGCAATACACATTCATTACCACAGTGGCACAACAATACCTTGAGAGGAATCAATAGAGGAAACATCAGCACCTGGTGCTGAGGGAATTGCTACACAAAGGGTGCCAACATCCTCGGCAATATCCTCAGGCACCTCTGTTCCACGCTGCACAAGACATGTGAAAGCAGTTTCCGCTGTCTTGCAAAATATCTTGACACCCTTGTTGCGCAACGCTCAAGAGGCGTGGTAGAGGCGTCTAAACGGCAATGTGCACCGCCAACAGGCATCCATGCACACCCCGTCGGTCCCATTCAGACCACGGTCAGCGGCGTTCAGCACCATGCTGTGGAACCAAAACCCCTTCTGATGCCCGCATTTCACACGCCCAACCCATCGGCCACGCACCACGCTGGCCCCATCCTCCTCCTCGTCCCAGTCCATCTCCTCCGCCTCCCCCTCGCCGTACATCCGCCCCGCGTAGTCCGCACCCAGCACCGCCTCCCTGTTCTTCCTGGAGTCCTCCACGCCGTACGTGTTCTCGAACAGCTTCCTCTGGTACGCGGCGCAGAAGGCCCTGAACTCGCCTTCCGTGGGAAAGGACAGGCGCCAGACCTCCCGGGCGATGAAGGTCACGTAGAGGGACGATCGTTCCGCATTGAGCCTCAGGGTGGCGTCCACGCGCTCGTCGATGTCGCCGGCGTCCACTTCTAGGTGCCACGCCCTCTCTCGCTCTTCGTAGTCCTCGTTGGCGTCGTAGAAGGCGTGGGGGGCGGGCGACGCCACCAGGAGCCACCGGAAGCCCTCCCTGGCCTTGTCCAGCTTCCACAGCTGGGTGGCGTCCGCCTGTGGGGGTGGGCGGGGGACGCGCGGCGACGTCAGGGCGTCGTTTTTTTGGCCCTTTCGGCCGACGAATTGAGGGATGCAGGGGAGCAACGTCGAGGGATTCACACTTATAGATTGTTGCGGGGGATGAGGCATGGAAAGCGAGCAGGGGCCACCCCCTTCTCCCGCCAACGGAGGGCGGCGATCCGCTTCGCGGCGGCAAGCGATGAGCCCGTGTCCGATCGTAATGGGGGGATCGCGCGGCTGCAGAAAGCGCCGGAGCATTCGCCAGAGGGTCAATCCCAACAGGCGGGCATCGCCGGCATTGCTTCCGGAGAGGTGTGCTCTCGCTTCGACACTCGACAACATTCCGGTCTGCGCCGGCCCGCCTAACGGTGGCCGGCAGATCGGCACGGACGATTTCGGAACGGCACGCGCGCCGCGGGCCACCCACCCTTCCTTCTGACCCCTCCGCCTCGGCCCCGTCCAGGGCTGCCCTGACTTGGCCACTCTGTTCGGCGCCCATCCTGACCAGCAAGCCACACCAGAGCTCAGCCGCCGGGCATGTCTCCCAGGCCGCCTGCCCAGGGCATGAGCTTGGCAAAATGCGCGTAGCTGCAATTCGGCAGGACGCGCGGGAACGCGACAGGGGGATCCACACTGACGGGCGACTGCCACATGTGGCTGCGGGCGCGGTGGCGAGCCACGAGACCACCAGATTCCCCAATCTGGAGCGGAAACGCACCTGTCAGGGAGATTTCCGTCAAGGGGAGGAGGGCAGGGGGGCCGGTGCGGCTGCGGCTGGGCGGCGCCTGGCCTTGGTACTCTGGTCGTCGTCGAGAGATGCGGAGCGGGATGGGGATGTCAGCAGGAAACGGGCCAAGGCGGAGGCCTGTTGCTGTCCCGGGCAGCTGGTGGGCAGGTGGTTGACCGCCCGCGCCTGCGCCCGTGCGTACATGGGAACACAGTGTCGGCGTTGCGGCCTGTTCGCTGTGGTCCAGGATGCAAGCCGGCTTTTTTGTTCCAGGAAAGAAACCCAGGAGAAAGGGGTGTGGGCGCTGCAGAAGGGGTGCACTCAACACCCAGCAAGCAAGTTTGTGCACGGTACCATTTTCTGCGTCAACAATGTTGAGCTTCATGCAAGTGCTGTTGCAACTGCAACCCTCCAGGCACCAGATTCAATACCGTTTGCCAGAGTTCCATGTCCTTGGGCGCGGGTTCAAATAGCCCCCCCTCAAGACAGAATACTTCTGCCATTTTCGGAATTTTTTCGTTCCCGAACCACCCAGCAAATCGGTCCGGCTCTCCTCGTCCGTCATATGAAGGCCGGCGCCACCTGATGGCGTCCCATCAGGGGCCAAGTGATTGTGGCTGTTGTGACAAATGATGGGGGGCGCGCACATTCAATGCGCGGG